CATCAGAGTTTTGATGACAGTATACATACTGTGAAGATATGTCACTACGAAAACTTTGAACGTAAGAATACGTATTTAACAATTTTATTTAATTATAATGCAATTTCTTCTTTTAGATTGCAAAACAGCAGCGACTTAGTCACATTCTTAAAGTATGTATTGAGACTTTTTATATGTTTATAAATTTTAATTGATATTTTTGCTTGTTTACAGATTCACTATCAGCACCTTCAACGCTTGCATCTTCATCGCCAGGAGCACCATTAGAACCTTCTGCCCTCAGCTTCTTCATCGCCAGGAGCACCACCAGTACCCTCTACCCTCAGCTCCTTCATCGCCAGGAGCACCATGAGTACCTTCCGCCCTCAGCACTTTCAACGCCAGGAGCACCTTCAAAGTGTAGGTCCAACTTGTCAAATTTTGCAAAGTTGTAAGAAAACTTAATTTTTCTGAACCACCATAAATTATTTGCAACTGTTAATATATATCAAAAGAAAGGTAAACCGATTACCTTTCTTTTGATTATAACACAGTTAGATAGTTAGATAGATAGTTGGTTGGGTATGGCACTGCGACCAGTAGGTTTATTGTGCCCCAAGCTCTTCACAATACATCAACCAGCCCCAGAGTGTCTATAAATTTCATAATAGACCCCTGGGACAGTGAGTGTATGTGCTCCTCTCTTGGCCAGACATGCCCTATGCTCCTATACCTCCTGCGTGCAACGGCATCACACTCCATAAGAAGGTGTAGAGGAGTCTCTTTGGCTGCATCGCAAAAGCGACACAGGTCGCTGGACCAGATACCTAATTTATGCAGGTGCCCTCTGAGCCTACAGTGGCCCGTCAAAAAACCTGTAATAATCCTTAGTTTCTCTTTTGGGAGATCCATGAGAAGCCTGTATCTTGACAGATTGTAACCTCCTAATAAGCTCCTTGCCTGACGTTGGCCCATGGTGCCAAGCCAGTGTAATTCCCTCAGTTTGCTGTTGTCCCTTCTGAGCATTTCCTGTATGGTGTTTGGTCCTACTGCCAGAAAGGGCTCAGGTCCTATCGGGGTCGAGGAAGTGGCCGTTCTGGCCAGATGATCAGCTTCCTCATTTCCTGCGACCCCCATGTGCCCTGGTACCCACATTAGTTGGATATCATTGACCTCCGCCAGAGCATTGAGCCTCTCGACACACTCCCTAACCAAGGAGGACTTGATCTCGAATGATGCGAGGGCCCTTAGTGCTGCCTGGCTGTCACTTAGTATAAGTATCCTTTCATTCCTATAGTTCCTGCGAATATTAATCTCAGCGCACATACTGATGGCATAGACCTCCGCTTGAAAGGTGCTAGGGAAGGTCCCAGGGACACCGAATGCTTCAGCCTAGGGCCGTACACGCCTGCTCCAATCCCCGCGGGTGTTTTAGAGCCGTCCGTGTACCACTGTATTGTGCTCGCCTGTATGTGACTCTCCATAATAGAGGTACACCAGGTCGCCTTGCTATAAGTGTGGGTCCTGAAATTTCTCTTGAATACCACCTCTCTGTTAATATCGTCCCTGGGGAACAAAGCCAGGGGGAGCTGGGTACCTAGCTTGTCCCTGTTCCTAGATGATAACACCTTGCCTTTGCCGAAGCCCTCTCGCGCAAAGTTAAGGAGGGTTCGCTTTGCAGCCTGTTCAATTGAGAGACGCAGTGGCTCGAGTTCCAGCATTACCTCTAGCGCTGCCGTCGGGCATGTGCGCATTGCTCCCGTAATGCAAACACATGCCAGACGTTGAATCTTGAAGAGGGTCTGCCTCACCGTTCCTATAGTAGTCCTGGAATACCAAGCCACCGCACCATAAGTCACTATTGGTTTCACTATCATGGTGTACATCCATCTGAGGATCCTCGGAGTGCACCCCCAGGATTTACCCGCCAGACGTTTGCACACCATCATCGCTCTCGTGGTGACCGCATCAACATGGGCCCTCCACAGAAGCTTGGAGTCCAGGGTAAGCCCCAGATACTTAGCCTCTGTGGCGACACTGATTGCGACCCCGTCCAAGGTCAAGTTCCTCATCCCCTGGAGATATCGTTTCTTGGTGAAGGGGACTGTCTTAGAAGGGTTGATATTTAAACCTACGTCTGTGCACCACCTTTTCGCAAGGTTAAGTCCTTTATGGACGATGTCACAGAGAGTACTTGCAAACTTCCCTCTAGCGATAATCACTATGTCGTCCGCGTACCCTTGGCAGCGGACGCCCTCGTTAGTGAGTATCTGTAGGAGTTCGTCCACAACTAAGCTCCACAGTAGAGGAGATAATACCCCCCTTGTGGGCACCCTTTCGTCGTTTGTATTTGAACGACGCTGTCACCGACTTCAGTTTCGGCAATCCTGGTCTGAAGTTACCTTGCTATCCATCTTCGGATGGTTGGCTGAACGTTATGTTTCCCAAGAGCTCTGTCGACTCCCAAATGGGAGGCGTTATCGAAGGCCCCCTCGATATCGAGGAAGGCACAGAGCACCACCTCATCACACTCAAAGGCCCCTTGTATTTCCTCCGTTAAGCCATACAGCGCAGTATCCGTGGATCTCCCCACCCTGTACGCGTGCTGGTTGGAATGCAGAGGGGTTTGTTTTAGAGTGTTATACCTGATTTCATGGTCAATAATTTTCTCCATTGCCTTTAACATAAAGGATGTGAGACTTATCGGCCTGAATGACTTGGCAAGAGAGTAATCCCTCTTACCTACCTTCGGGATAAAAATAACCCTGGCCCTTTGCCACACCTTGGGAATGTGAGCCAGTGCTAGACTGTCCCTCATAATGTCCACCAGATGTGGAAGTAAGAGCTCCCCGCCCTGCTTCAGCAACGCCGGACATACACCATCCACCCCAGGGGCCTTGTACCGTTCGAAGGAGTCCAGAGCCCACCGCACTGTTTGCCGGTTTATAAGGCTTCTAGCCAACTTCCAGTCCGGTGGGGATGGCCTGAACGCACGGAACAACATATCCCCAGCGGTGGGAATGGCGTCCGGAAAGTGGGCCGATAGCAGGGCGAGTGCCCTTTCCTGTTCATTACCTGAAAAAGCCCCAGTAGGTAGCCAGTCTGGTCCCTGTGTTGTCTCTCGCTAAGGCTTTATGCAGCCTAGCAGCTGCAGGAGTAGATGCGATGTTCTCACAAAAGGTTCTGAAGCTGCTACGCTTGGCCTTCCTAATCTCCTTATTGTATTTTGTTAGACAGACTGAGTACTCCTCCCAGCTCCCGGTGCGCTTTTCCCTGTTGAAAAGTCTTCGCACATCTTTCCTAAGAACTGGGAGTTCCCGTGTCCACCACGGAGGCTGAGCTTTCCCTTTTGGCTTTGACACGGGACAGCTGGAGGTAAAGGCATCCAGAATGGTGCCGTTCAGCTTGTTGACCCTGTCCTTTAACTCCATACAATCCACCTTTCTATGTTGTGCCTCTATTCTGCTTAGGTTCAACCTAAGTACCTCTTCATATTTATCCCAGTCTGTTTTCCTGGGGTTCCTCTTTGGGTGACCTGTCAGAACCTCAGCTCCCAGTGCAAATCGGATAATCCTGTGATCCGACAGTGAGGGCTCAGATGAGACCCGCCACTGAACGATCAGAGGACTGGCCAGTCTGTTGCTGAGAGTGATGTCAAGTACCTCCTCTCTGACCCTAGTTATGAACGTTGGTTTATTACCGACATTATGGATGCACAGGTCTTCACTGATAATATATTCTAATAAGCACTCACCCCTACGGTTTGTGTCCCCACTCTATATTGTGGGCGTTCGCATCGCAGCCGAGAATCGCCGGAAGTCGTTTCCTGCCGCAAAATTCCCGCAGCTGCTGTACCTCAAGAGGCGGCACGTTGGCGTTGTCCCCCGGAAAGTAGGCTGCAGCCAAGACCACCTCCAGTTCCTTCCCGTTGACCCTTAAGGTAGCTTGGACCGCTACCAGATCCTGTGTAAGAAATTCTGTAATGCAAAAGTAATTAAGATTATTCTTTAGCACTACGCACGCTCTGGGCCTCTCGCAGGAAAGGTCCCAAATTACCTTATTGTTGTTATGATTGAGGCCCTTCACCTGGCCTCTGTAGGTCCACGGTTCCTGAATCAGTAGGATTCCCAGGTCCTCCGTGGCAAACGTGCTTGCAATGATCGCCGAGGCGGCCACCGCATGATGCAAGTTGACCTGGGCTACTGTTAGCGCTGTTGGGGCTCGTCCTCGATGTTCGAAAGCCGTGCCTCACCCTCGCCCTCTCTGTCGAGTTCGAGCCTCCCTATGTCCGCTAGGAGCGCATGTAGTCAGTGGCACTTGGCCCGGGAGCACTCACTAGAGCTGGTGCCTGTGCTAATTCCGGTAGCTGATCTTCCAGTGGGGCCGTGGTCGACTCGGTCGCTGGGGCAGCAGTGGAGTCAGTAGCCTCGTCGACTTGCATGTCTTGGCACTCTGACTCCTTGCTGCCTGTCGTCTTATGCCGCCATGGCCGCACCGTAACATAACTGTAACGGAAGTTGGTTGTGAATCCGGCCCTCTTGATGCTGACGTACGACGCCTCATCGATCCCCAGGTTGAGCCTGAGACCGTTGTCTTCGGCGCCGCATGAAACCACCTTCCACGCAGCCGTGTGGATGTCCTCATTCTGGGCCTTGATGAGCCCCAGCATGTACTCAGCCGATTTCTCGGCGCATCTTGGGAAGAACACCGAGATATTATGCACCGGCGGGATATCTTCCCCCCTCTTGGTACATAACGCGGGCCCCTCCCATCCCTCAATGTTTGGTGCCTTATCTACCAGCCATGCTGCGGTCCGCTCATCCTTGCAGTCCACAAGGAGCATGCCTGACCTGAAAAATACCCCACAAAAGACCAGTGCGTGCTTCCACCCTTTAAGGACCTCATCCATGATGGCGTCCTGGAGTTTGGTCAGGTCCTCAGGACTTAGGGCAGCAGCAGGGTAATCACAGGGCAGTACAGCCACCCGGATGCCTTTAAGAGCATCCGAATAGCTAGGCTGCTTAGTGATTCCCTCCTGTGGCTGACCCTGCGGACCCCGCGGACCCATCCAAGCCCCTAGACTCTGTTGGAGGGGGTGGGAGGCCCCGCGGCCGTTTGGGGGACGGTGGCTCAGGTGGTGTGACCTGTAGGCTGGTGCGTTTTGGAGTAGCTGTTGTTGAGCCTGTTGTGGTACCTGTGGGTTCCCCGCTTCTCCGCCATTTGGCGGGCGCGGGTCTCTGCTGCTGTTGCCCGCTTCTCTGCTTTTCAGCAGGCGCGGGTTTCTGATGCTGTAGCCCGCTTATCTGCTTTTCAGCAGGCGCGGGTCTCTGCTGCTGTTGCCAGCTTCTCTGCTTTTCAGCAGGCGCGGGTCTCTGATGCTGTTGCCCGCTTCTCTGCTTTTCAGCAGGCGCGGGTAGTTCACCTCTCTGCTGCATACCAGCGGTTGCAGCCGTCTTACCACTCTCTTGTGCCTCTTTCTCCACCTCTTGTCTTACTTCCGCCATTGCGCGGCGCTCGGCTTCCTCCCCTGCTCCAGGTACCGGAGATACCACTTGACTCCCGACCCACTAAGACCAGCTCGATGGTGGTCGTCAAGGGCTCCCGGTTGACCGGAGGGCGGAAGTGGAGGCGGTCTACACCTGCGGCTTCTCTTTTTGCTGTCTTGCAGCTGCTTCGACTAGGAGACCTGCGTTGCCTACTGCTAGAGCGGTGCCCACTGCCGGAGCGATGCCTGCTCTTCGAGCGATGCCGACCCTCGGCGGTCATGGCTCCCGAAGCGGTCACGACTCCTGGAGCGACGCCGACTGGCCTCCCGGTTCCTGCTTGGCGATCGGTGCCTATTTTTTGAGGCCAGAGCCTCTGCTCCCTTGGTGCCCTCCGACCGAAGCTGCGTCCGATCCACGCCGCCACTGCTAGTGCTTGGCCTCTCATCTTCTCTGGCGTGTTCAATAAAAAGGGCAGCCTCCTCCTCGGATAGGCTCGCAAGAAAGCCTCCCCTGCGCCTGGTGCCTTTACTTTCGCCCAGCATAGAACTGCCGAGCTTGGCCGTTGGTACCTTTGGTGCCATTGACATAACTGTCTTCGTGGCTGCTGCTGCTGTTGTAGCTGTAGTTGTGACTGTTGTAGAAGCTGTTGCTGATGTTGTGGCTGTTGCAGCTGTTGTGGCTGTAGTTGTAGCTGTAGCTGTAGCTGTTTTCGCGGATTTCGCGATGGTTTTTGTTGTTTTTGTGTTTTTTTGGTTTTTAGTTGTATTCATCTTGTTCGTACGACTGCCAGCTCGGCTAGGCAAGCTCAGCAGTCAAAGCTGTAATAGTGGATCTCATCTGGTCCGCCGCGCCAGCGCCCCATGTCGCGGTAAGGCCACCGTTACTCCTCGATGCGGCCCGGTGTCGAAGAGGCGCCGTTATATTACAGCCGGTTTTTCCCTCCTGGCTGCAAACCGTCCAATAGGCACGGTGTCGCGTAACACCCTGGATTAGGAGGTGGCAGTTCTTGGTCACCGTTTACCGGCAGCCCCAATCTGGAGACAAGGTAGCGACGAGCGCGTCCACGATACCCCAGACCAGAGATGGGCTGATCGGCAATTCAGCTAAGCCCCCGCACCAACGACAAGGTGCCTGCCCTAGCGAGGGTATAACACAGTTAAAATTGCTTTACGTTTTCATAAAAACTTTGCAACTTTTGTAAACAGCTATATATGAGCAGTGGAAAAGTGGTAAAATTTTGCAAAGTTGTAACAAAACAGATTTTTTGTGAACTAGTGTAAATGATTTGCAACTGTTTATATATATCAAAAGAAAGGTAAACCAATTACCTTTGTTTTGATTATAACACCGTTAAAATCGCTTTACGTTTTCATAAAAACCTTGCAACTTTTGTAAACAGCTATATATAAGCAGTGGAAAAGTGGTAAAATTTTGCAAAGTTGTAACAAAACAGTTTTTTTGTGAACTAGTGTAAATGATTTGCAACTGTTAATATATATCAAAAGAAAGGTAAACCGATTACCTTTCTTTTGATTATAATATTGTTAAAATCGCTTAACTTTTTTATAGAAATTTTGCAACTTTTGAAACCGTCTATATATAAGTCGAAAAAACGCAATCAAATTTTGCAAAGTTGAAATGAAACTGAATTTTTGTGAACCATTATAAATGACTTGCAACTTTTAATATATATCAAGGTGCCTGCCCTAGCGAGGGTATAACACAGTTAAAATTGCTTTA